TATATATATATTAGTTGGCCAATTAATTTCTTTCTATTTTTATGGTAGAGACGGGGTCTCGCTCTTGCTCAGGCTGGTTTCGAACTCCTGACCTTGAGCAATCCGCCCGCCTCGGCCTCCCAGAGAGCTAGGATTACAGGCGTGAGCCACCGCGCCCGGCCCTATTGGCCCCTTTTTAAGGATTATAAATAACCTGAGAACTCAGAGGGAAACAGAAATAAGCTAAGTGGATCCAGGTTTTCCCTTCAACAATAACCCCTCGGATCAATAAATGCTCTGTGCAAGGCCTTACAGAAAGGACTAGGGTATTCGCAATCGTTTGTTTCATCGAAATATGGAAGGGGAAGAAGGCCCTGGCACAGGCGACAGCACGAGGCCGGAGAGGCGGTCGCAGAGCTGCGCAGAGTTAGTCCTCTACGCGTGGGAAGGTCACAGGCAGGGCGTGCGACAGGCGTCCTCAAACCACGGCCCGCGGGCCACACGCGCGTGTTTGCCCGTTTGTTTTTTTGCTTCAAAATAAGATACGTGCAGTGTGTGCATAGGAATTTGTTCATAGTTTTGTTTTTTAAACTATAGTCCGGCCCTGCAACGGTCTGAGGGACAGTGGACTTGGCCCCCTGTTTAAAAAAGTTTGAGGACCCCTTTTGTGTGCTGTGTTCACACGGTGGGGGGGGGGAGAGCTCAGAGACATTCCAAGGAGGTGATTTTTCCTTCAAAGCTGCCCTGCATACTCGTTTCCTGCACATATATATTTTTTTCTTGATTATGTCACTGTTTAAATTGCAAGGATGTGACATGAGGAGAAAAGATCAGAAAAGCAAGAATGAGCCTATCCTTCCTCTTAGAATAAGGAGTGGACAGAGCACAGCCTGAGAATCGCATCTGCCCCGCAGCTAGTTTTTGCAAATAAAGTTTCATTGGGACATAGCCATGCCTATTTGTTTATCTAAATGGCCTCTATAAAAAAATGCTTGCTATTCCCTGCCTATAAACATGCTTGCTATTCCCTGCTCTATAAAAATGCTTGCTATTCCCTGCTCTATAAAAATGCTTGCTATTCCCTGCTCTAGAGATACTGAGTAATATCTTGCAATGAACCCATAACTAAACTTTCCCAAAATGCTGAGAAATGAACCTGACTATATTGCCACAGTACTGCAAAAAAAAAAAAAAAGGTAAAATTAACTGGTGACTTCGAGGAGAGACTGGGAAGCCTTTTTCTCGCTCTCTTGGCAGCCAGTCTGCAAGGATAGGCGACCCGAGGAGGGGCAGAGTCTGCAGGTGGCACCCGGCCTGGCTGTCGGTCGGGTTGCCGTGTGCCCCGTCTGCCCCTGCAGGTCGCACGCCGTCCACTAGGCCGCCCGTGGCTTGTGTGACTGCTCCTTCATGGCTTTAAAAGAACCCTTGATCCATTCAGGTATTTTAGCTCCCCTCGTTTTAAGCAAGACGAACAGGTAAGCTTGGGTCACCTTCTTGGCCTGGGCAGCCGCGTGGGCCGGTTCCTGTCACCGTCGTGAGCAGGTGCCAGGCCCAGGCGGGTCTCCCGCAGGTTGGGTGCTTCACCAGTCTCCTATCCCCAGTGATAGCCGTGCTCCTGCTCTTTCTCTGTGGCTCTGGGAAACTCGTTCATCTTTGCAGGCTGTGGCCTTATTCCAGGGGTCCCCAAACTCCGGCCCGCGGGCCACATGCGGGCCCCTAGCACATGCATCCAGCCCGCCGGGTGCTTTTTGCCGCGCCGCTGCCTGTCCTGCTTAGCAGCCGACTGGTCCCGGGCCCTCAGTGCACACAAGCCACGAGCAAGGGACAGTGAACTCCAACGGTCTGAGGGACAGGGAGCCGGCCTCCTGTTTGAAAAGTGACCCTGGTGACTTATTCCTCACCTCCAACTAGAGGGCTCTAGTTGAACAGCATGTTGGATAAAGGGGTGGGGGCAGGGGACGGATTGTGGATGGGTGTGGTTTTCAGTGAACAGTGGGGCATGACATTACTTCTCGAAGTCTGCCCAGCAAGAGAGCTCCGGCGTCTCCAGCGCTGGCCTCCCGGGATTGGCAGGTAGGCGTGGGAGTCCCCGGAGAGAGCAGGTGTAGGCGCTTGAACTTGGACGCCTCGCTGCTCATGGCCACGTTTGCAAAAGGGGGCTGCCTAAGCGCACCTGGCACACCTGTGGCACTATGAGCCAGTGAGATGGGCGTGGGGCAGTCCCTGTAAATGGCCAGGAGAGTGCCCTTTAGCCCCTCTGACTTGTAGTTTTGACCCCAGCTTTCCAGGCAGAAGGGGTGCGACTTGAGAATATCAAATAACACCGCTTCTCAGCCTGTTGGCTCAGATCAAAGTGAAAATATTGTGCAAGAGCTGCTGCCACCCTGAGGATAGAGTGATTTTTTTTTTTTTTGGAGACAGAGTCTTGCTTTGTCACCCAGCCTAGAGTGAGTGCCATGGCTCAGCCTCGTCATAGACCTCTCCAACTCCTGGCTCAAGCTATCCTCCTGTCCTGCCTCCCGAGTAGCTGGACTACGGCATGCGCCCCACACTGCCTGGCTCATTTTTTCTCTATATTTTTAGATTGGCCAATTGATTTCTTCTTTTTTAGTAGAGACGGGTCTCGCTCTTGCTCAGGCTGGTTTCGAACTCCTGACCTTGAGCGATCCGCCCGCCTCGGCCTCCCAGAGTGCTAGGATGACAGGGGTGAGCCACCGTGCCCGGCCAGGATAGAGTGATTAATTGCAAATATGCAAAGATCTGCACGTGACGTGTGGGAAATTCCACTCACCCCTGCCCGGAAGGTGCCCGAATTTCCTTTCCACTTCCAGACCTGCGTTAGGTCCTTACTTCATGTCTAGACGAACACAGCCGCTTCCCATCTGGGTTGTGGCTCCACAGCTTACGTTTTCTGCTGCCTTCTGGTCCACCAGGCACCAGCCGATGGCTCTGGGCACCGCCGATCACGTCCCAGTTTAGTGTCATCGGTGGTCTCCCTTGCCCCATTCGATGGTGTCCATGACTTCCTGTCTTGGCATTCACGGTCCTCTAAAATCTGACTTCCAGTCATCCCAGCACTCTGGGAGGCCGAGGCGGGAGGATTCGCTCAAGGTTTAAGAGTTCAAAACCAGCCTGAGCAAGAACGAGAACCCCGTCTCGTATAAATATAGAAAAAAACTAATGCCAACTGACGAATATATAGAAATTAGCTGTCCGGTGGCCTGTATCCGCACTTCGGAGACTGAGGCAGGAGATCGCTTTGAGGCCCAGGATTGGAGGTTGCTGTTGAGCAGGCTGACCGCCCACGGCATCCACTCTAGCCTGGCAACAGAGTAGACTGGTCTCAAAAAAAAAAAATCTGACTTCCATCTGTTCTTCAGTGGCGCCACCCCAGCCTGCATTCCACTCTGGGCCACTGAGCCTTTACTCGCACCGTCCCTTCCTCCTGAAGGCCCCCGCCCCCCCTGCAGGGTCAGCCTGCCAGCACTCTCCATCCTTTGTGACCACATTCATTTTGTTTTTCTTCTTCTGAGACAAGCGGTCTCACTCTGTTGCCCAGGCTAGGGTACCGTGCGTGAGCCTCGCTCACAGCAACCTCCAACTCCCTGGCTCAAAAGCGATCCTCCCTGCCTCAGCCTCCCGAGTAGCTGGGACTACAGGCATATGCCACCACCACGCCCGGCTAGTTTTTTTCTATATATATATGATTGGCTAATTCATTTCTTCCTATTATAGAAGAGTCAGGGTTTCGCTCTTGCTCAGGCTGGTCTCGAACTCCTGACCTCGAGCGATCCTCCCGCCTCGGCCTCCCAGAGAGCTAGGGTGACAGGCGTGAGCCACCGCTCCTGGCCTTGTTCTTTCTCTAATTTGCCACTTTGGGTCATGACCAACAGGATGGCCGGTCTCTGGATACCCAGGGCAGTTAGTGTAGGCGACTGATTTGTGTCCTTAATCTCACGGCGCCTGGGATTGATGGCAGATAGTTGTGGGTCCGTTTCGTGTCCCTTGCCCAACTGTAAACTCCTTGGGGACAGGACCCGATGCCGGGCAGCCTGTAAACAGCTGTTGAGTGAGTGACTTGGGGGGTTGGGGGTTGACAGTGGACGGCCAGGAGGGAGGGAGAGCTGTCACCCAGGAACTGAGGCTGCACCATGCAGCGACAGCAAATCCCCGCTGTGACTAAAGTGGAGGGGACGTGAGCTGCTCTCTCATTGTGCTTTCCCAAGTCTCCCTGGCCATCCTCAAAGACAGAATAGTGTCCCGCCACTTAGGGAAGTTGCAGTGAGGCAGTGCTGTCGCGACCAATGCTTCTGACAGTGTTTTCTGGTGCGTGAAGAGTTTCTGTATTCTGAGCAAGCCTTCTCTCTAGAAGGGACATGCGTGTCACCACGGTGGCATTATGCCAGGCGCAGTGTCTTTATCTCACTCTGGTTGACAGAATTTATACTCGGTGGAGGGAGGGGCAAAAAAAAAACAAAATACAACCTTAGAATAAATGATCTTATAACAGCGTTTGTCTTCGCCCGCAGAACAATATGACACGTCCTCCAAAACCCACTCCAGTTCTCAGCAAGGGACCTCGTAAGTAAACCGCTTTTGTTCATTTAAAGTTTGTACTCTGACATTGTGACTTCCCATGTGAATTCATTGCTTTGATTTTTTTTTCCCCCCTCCCTGCTTTCCGGTAATGACATTCACAAAATACTGTCGCATCGTGAAGGGAAGAAATGAAATGGCCCACCTTAATATTTGCATTCTGTTCCATCAAAGGTTTACATTCTATGGGAGAGTTAGTTTTCTAAGGGGTTTTAGGAGAAGAAAGATTTTTGCGCCATCATGCACATGTTAACTGTGGAAAGTTACAAAGCGTTGGCTTCTCAGATTTGTCTCAAATTAGCTTTAGCTTCTGGAAACGAGTTTTGGGGGGGAATGTGCACAGTTTAAGATTTTCTGCCACTTTTTTGGCCTAATTTTACAAAGAAGGAGCCAGTCCTGGTGCCCAGCTATTCTTCATTAAGGCCGAGTGAGTCCAGATAGATTTTTGGGTTTCTGGAACATTTTAAACTGCGGATGGAAGGTTTTTGAGTCAGCATTCTAACTCACTCCGTCATGTCTCGAGAGTATTGAGCTGCTATTTCTTTACTTTCTTTAGTAGAGCCAGAGGTGGTTAGTGGGGCCCTTCTCGTCCCCAGTTTCTAATCGGTCACGGTGGCTCTGAGTCGCTGGTCTCCGGATTCCAGGGGGTTCTGGAGTCCCAGCTTCTATTTTTAGACAGTGTTTGTTCCATGAACTTTGGAAGGCAGGGATGGCCGTGGATTATTTTTAAAAGCTGTATGGCTGAGCCGAAGAGGTTATTTTATCTGCTTGCCGTGACCGAACGTGGGGCTGGGTTATTGTCACCATTTCCCAAGGGCCATTCCCCTTGGTGCCATTTGCTTTCATTTCGCCATTGCAAAACGAGGGGAAGAGAACAATATAGAGTTTTTTTGAATTTTTATTTATTTTTTTGATAGTTGCCAGGGCTAGAGTGCCGTGGCATCAGCCTCGCTCACAGCAACCTCCAACTCCTGGGCTCAAGCGATCCTCCCGCCTCAGCCTCCCGAGTAGCTGGGACTACAGGCATGCGCCACCATGCCCAGCTAATTTTTCTATATATTTTTAGTTGGCCATTAATTTCTTTCTATTTTTAGTAGAGAACTGGGGTCTCGCTCTTGCTCAAGCTGGTTTTGAACTCCTGACCTCGAGCAATCCTACTGCCTTGGCCTCCCAGAGTGCTAGGATTACAGATATGAGCCACCACGGCTGGCCTATATAATGAGTTTTTTTAAATTTTCATTTTTAAAATTTTTTAAAAATTATTTTTCTTCTTTTTTTTCTTCTTTTCAGCCATGTGATTAGGGTATCCTTAGATAATGAGTTTTTTTAAATCATAAGTTTATTATAGTTTGAAGGATGGGCTTTTTGCATGCGGTAAGAATGTATTTTTTTGGTGGTCCTCGTACATGGGATTTTGGTTGTCCTTTGCTAGGAAAAAAAAGTGACTTGTATTGGTTATCCCTCCCTCTTTCTTTTTTACGTTTCTCTTGCTGGAAATTTGAGTGGCCCCTGAATTCTGGGGCCCTGAAATCACTGCTTAGATGGCATTTAATAAGGAAGGATGAGGCTCGTTAAACCAGTTGGTGGCCCGTAGGGAACAGTGGCCATAGATCAAGGACTCGGAACCATAAGAATCCTTGGTCGCTCTGAAGATTTTACACCGGGTCCTGCTTTGTCACGCGTGGTTGGTATCAAGCCCTGTTGACTATAAAAGGCCCTGGCCTCATTCCCTCAGCGTGGCTCACGCCTGTCATCCTAGCACTCTGGGAGGCCGAGGAGGGAGGATCGCTAGAGGTCAGGAGTTTGAGACCAGCCTGAGCAAGAGTGATACCCTGTCTCTACCAAAAATAGAAATAAATTAATCAGCCAACTAAAAATATATAGAAGTAAAAACTAGCCGAGCATGGTGGTACATGCCTGTAGTCCCAGCTACTCGGGAGGCTGAGGCAGGAGGATCACTTGAGCCCAGGAGTTTGAGGTTGCTGTGAGCGAGGCTGACGCATCCAGACGGCAAGCTCCTAGGCCGCCAGGCAGTAGAGTGAGACTCTGCCAAAAGTAAAAAAATAAAGTAAAATAAAATAAAAAAGGAAATGCAGAGTCTTAAATTCTATCCCCAATCTACTGAATCAGAATCTGCATTTTAAGAATGCAGATTTAAGAATACCTTAAAACCTGAGAGGAGTTGCATTTTATAAAATACATGACACCTAAGAATTTGTACTCCGATGATATGCTGAAATAAAAACAAAAAAAAGTAAAAAAAAAAAAATTAACTCATAATGAATCAAAGACCTAAACATAAGACGAAAAAAAAAAAAATCAATCTAGGTCTTAATGCTTTGTCTTCCGGCATTACTGGTACCTAGAAATTCCTAGAAAAGTGGAGTAGGACACATGACAGGGGCTTGGCAGCAAACAACAAGCTTGTTGTCACGAGTCTGTGAAGTCTTGCAGATGTCTGGCCGTGGATGAGGGGTCACAAGCTGGTAGAGGGATGCACGTGTCAAAGGAAGAGAGGCTGAGTCCGTAACTTTTAATAGAGTTCTCTGTACTTAGTGCCCCAGCTAATTTCCCAAATCCTGAATTCCTTCTGCAGGGCTCTGCAGGTAACTGGTTAGCTAGGAGGTGACTACCGTCTGCTCCTGGCGTTAGGAGGGGTTGCATTTGTGTGAGCAAGGGCTCCCAGGCTTAGATCTGTGGGGTTCTCAGGGCAGAGTACAAAGGATTTCCTCTTCTCTGTAGTTACTGTGTCCCTTTATGTCATCGTGCACAGTCCTCCTGCATATAGCCAGTTTCAGTTTTACTGGCGTCACTTTACAATGTGCTACTATGTGTCAGCCTCTCGCAAGAACACAACGTGCTCACCCATCAGAAACCGCGCAACCATTTATATTTATTGTTGTAGCCGGCTGACTTCTCTCTCCCCCGCACTGAGCGTTTACAAGAAGGCGCCCTCCTTTTTCTTGTCATCTCTGGAATCCACACGCTTTGAGCCACCTGGAGAAACAGTGGGGGACCATGAGACAAAGCCCTTGCCTCCCCCAGTTTGTCACAAAACGCAGGTGACATAGAACGCACAGAACAAGGTGACGTGACGGTACCAGGGTTGGGGCAGGAGTTTTGTTGTGTTGTCAGGGTGGCGGTGATACCTCAGGGAGGGAGATCAGGAGAGGTGTCTCCGAGTTGGTGACATCTGACGACAAGAGGAAGGCGCGGACTGCTCGCTACCTTGAAGGGGGCTTGGAAGACACTCCCAGACTCTGAAACCTCAAGGGATAATTTTTTTTTGGAAGTGACTACGTCGCAGGGGAGTTCATTTGTACATACAAAACCTGGTTTGCAGGGTGGTGCCGCGGACAGGCGCGACGGCAGCTCTAGTCCGCGGCAACAGAACCAGACTCTGCTTCGAAAAAAAAAAACGAAAATCAATTTGGAATAGAATCGAGCAACTCAAGTCACGGGCAAGCGACAGGCTGGGCTCCAAAAGCAGCATCTAGCAACGTCAACGTTTTAAATTCAATTGAATCCGCAGGTTTGATTCCTCTTGATCTGACAGGGCAGGAGAATCAAGGACCTGCAAATCCCCTTGTAAAGAGAACAGCGAGGTTGCAAACCGCGGGAAGAGGGCTCCACATGAACACAAATGAGAAAAGTGAAAAGCACCATCTTAAAGCAGCTTGGGACACAAACATACTAAGGGAAGACTTCCGAATGCGACCAGTAGTCTCCGAAAGCGCGGAGATGTCAATTCACGCAGACTGTCTACTGCGGAGTTCGAACCTGGCTAACCAAGGACAGACCAGAAAAAAACCTGACCGTGGAGTGTACATGACTCTACCATTTTAATCCAAACCACGCTTCAATGGCTTCATCGGGAGAGTACAACACCCGCCCACATTGTGCCAGAGGTAGACAAGATTACATTTAAACGTCCATACAAAGCTCATCTGCAGCTCAAATAAGCGCCAACCCTACCACACCAAACTTCACAAGAGCATAAATCGAGGATGCACATGTGAAATAAACCCACAGTAAGACCAAACCTAAACAGTACTCCGCCAAATACGATACAGTACACAGAGTGATAGCCACTTTTTTTTTTTTTTTTTAAAGACAGAGGTCTCACTTGTTGCCCAGGCCTCAAGAGTGAGTGGCCGTGGCGCAGCCTCGCTCACAGCAACCTCCAACTCCTGGGCTCCAGCGATCCCTCCTGCCATTCAGCCTCCCGAGTAGCCTGGGACTACAGCATCGCGCCACACCATGCCCGGGCTCATCTTCTTCCCTATATAC